ATGACCACATTTTGTGTTTGCTTTGTTGGAGTTTTGTCAGCTAGGAAGTCGAACTGTTTTGTTGTTATATGTAGGTGTGTATTTCAGATCTACATTTGTGTCCTTTTGGTACAAAGAGCATGTGTTGCAGTCATGTTGCCATTAAGAACAAACTGGAACAGAAATTCTCATGTTGTCAGATTGGTTTATCAAGGACTAGGGAATATCGTTTTACCTCCTTAATCTCAGTAAAATGCACACTTATGGGATACAACTAGGTGAAAAAATGACATTGCCTACTCCTAGATCTAGTGCCACTAAAGTCCCGTTCAATCTGTAGACCATTCGGGTCAATATAAATACAATTAATGCAAAGCTCCTTTACCCTTGACTCGGCTCTCCTGTGTCTGCACACCCTGTCCATTCTGGTGCTCTTACCAAACTACATGTAACTTTCCTGACAGCAGCCGAGATGTTGCAGCCCCAGCAGACCAGACCATAAAAGATTGCTTATGCCATCACAGAGTCATGGAAGGTCTGAAGTAGTGCCCCCTGCACTCCAAAATACCTGTCTCCTCAGCAGATACAGTCTGCTCTGTCTCTTCTTGTAGATAGCAGCAGTGATCCGACCAGTCCAGTTTATTGTTCAGATTAACACAAAGGTTGTCATAGTCTGCTCCATCATTCACCAGTAGTTTTCCATTCACCTGTCTCACCTGTTTTCCACACCCACTCGTTAGCTCACTCTCTTTCTCTTCTGCACCCATTAGCTTCTGCCAGTATTTAAACCCGCACATTACACACACTCTTTGCCAGATTGTACTTTGCCTCATGCTTGTCTTTCCCGCGTTTGAAACTAGATTGCCTACCCGGTTCCGACCCTGCCTGTCCTCGATCTGCCTGCTCTGCCTGTTCCCTGATCCTGCCTGTCCCTCGACTATCCTGTCTGGCCTGTTATCCGACCCTGCCTGTATCTACGCTGACCGCCTCGCTTACTCCCTGACTCTCTGCCTGTCCCTGACTCACCTTCTGCCCGCTGTCCTCCGGTGCGTTAAACTGCTCGGTTGGTATTCCTCAGATCCAGTGGAATCTCCAATAAAGTGTATTACCAATTCTCCTTGGTTTCTCGAGTGCTGCATTTGGGTTCTCCTTAAGATTGTGACAAAGGTACTTGTTAGATTTCACAATCTCAATCCCTAAATATTTATAATATTATTTCATGGGTTATATCTATTTGAAATGTGGTGTAGTAGTGTCTCATGACACAATATTGAAGCATTTGACTCCATGTTGCAAAAAGGGAAATGTTTTAATAAAACAAATAAACAAATTGGTATTTTCACACACACACACACACGCACACACACACACACACACACACACACACACACACACACACACACACACACACACACACACATATTGCATGTGGCACATTGCATGTGCCACAAGATAATTTCATATGCATGGGTTATCATAAAACAACAAATTACTTAGGGTCAGTTTTGTAGAAGCCTGATAGTAAACTAGTTATGAAGTAATACATTTATTTATAACGCACAGTCTAAAAAAAGCTAACCAAAGAGCTGTGTTCTCACCAGGCAGCCAGCAGACCATTACCTCTTCTCTTCCCTACACACAGGCACACACAAACAGACACAGACAGGCAAAAACAAGTGTTAGCCAGCGACCACGGGTAAATGCATTTCTGCTTCATGCTCTGTCAGTTTCAACATCTTACCTTCTCTACCCTTCTGTCTTTAATTCCGTTGTAGTTGAATATCTGCTGAAAAAGAGAGGGATTATGGAAACCTGGATCTGATATCTTGTCTGAAATGTGCGTAACTTGTGGTGTGCAAAAGGACTTGCGCGTGAATGGGAGAATACAGCTATTTATTTGTTCAGTAGGATGTACCACAAAAACAAAACATACCCTTATTCCTCTTCTTCATCCCTTCACCTGTGGTACTGCTACACCCATTTGCTACAGAGGTAGCAAGTCTTGGAGAGGAGGAGCGCTCTGTGGGCAAACCTGTGACAGATGTAAGAAAGTTAAATGTAAGTGACGCTAGAGACTGGGGCATAGATAGCATCACAACCTCTGTGGGCTATAGATGATTTTTGCCCTTCATGTTCCTGATCTACTGACTTCAAATATGGAGTATGTCAAAATGTATTATGTAACTTAAATAACTTTCATAATATTTTTTGTTAGCGTCCAGCTGTGACTTTATGACAAATCACACCCTATTTATGGAAAGACGGTTTCCCTAAGATATCTGTGAATTGTGTTGTATTTCTGTTGTATATGTAAAATGACCGTGGGTTCCTTGAAAGGTGCATTTAAATGACAAGTGTTATTATTATAAACCATGATGCCAGAGGGCAAATAACACTCAACACTCATTATTTAAAATGTAATGAATCACACAAACAAAACACTAACCCTTCTTCCTCTTCCCTGGCTGGGATGCAGCCGATGGTGAAGGGAGTGAATAGATGCTTGCAGCTCGGACAGGGATGAGTGTCAGGGTGTACATCTCCTCGGATAGGTTTCCTACATAGAAGTAGAAAGAGTAGAATGGATGTACGCCACCTTCTTCAATGTACAGAACCTCCTATTTTACTGGAATTCGCGATGAACTATGCTGTGCGACTTACCAGAGGACTCGGTGGGGGTGTCTGCGGTGGCAATGACAACTTCTGAAAAAGAAAAGGTTACAATTTGTAAAACATACAAGTTGCTGTTAAAAGTGACAATGACTTTGAAGCTTACAAAAATAACACAAGTTTATATTGCATCAAGTACAACCACTCAATGCACCATGCAAACATAATTTTACCACAGAAAAAGGACACATTGGTCTCTAACCCCACCAATAGGAATGTCCTCATAAGTGCTAATAAAAGTAATCACATTAAGTTCTTAGGTGTTATTTGTCTCATTAGGCAGTTCAACAAATGTCATTTTGAATGGTCAGCTCCTGGCTGTTTAGAAAATCCTCATATAACGAATATAGTCAGAAAACAATCAAAAAGAGTGGTACAATAGACTTCTGCAATTACTTGATGTGGCTGGCGAGTTTTCCGCAGGAGGCTGTGGGGTTTCGGAGGCTGCTGCAGGCTCTGTATGACTCCAACCTAGATTAAAGAAAATAAGCTTTGGATAGCATCAACAACATCATGTAATTCACTAGTTCTCCCATTTGTATGCTTGATTTAAGGAAGAGGTGTAAGTTAATTGCTGTCAATTACCCCTATGGGCTCCTCCTAAACTTTATTAAGAAAACGACATCTAAGTGTCTAATTTCATTTCCAATGACATTATTGGTTAATTCTACAAAAATGTAAGTTACAGTACTACCTACTTAATTTCTTTATTCACTTTAACAGACAACAATACCTTTCGCAACAAATTCAAATAACACCTCCATCCTTCGGAGGCAGGTGGAGGCATTGCTGCTGACATTGCACCTTGGCATCATTACTTCGCAGGTCCATTCCTTCTTTATTCCAGGCCGGGCTAGGAACAAGACGCCTCTGGCTCCAAGGGCCTGACATTTTTCCAGCTTCCAACAAACCAAAATATACATTATTTCAGAACAATTATGCCCTGGTTATTTACAAAGGCAAAACCAGTTGTTAAACATAAATCACATATACTGCTTGCACAAATATTCAACCCCTATGCAATAACAAAGAACATTTTTGTATGCATGCATTAACAGTCTTAAGATTGTTGCAATCAGCAAGTAGAATCTTTGAACATTATTCTGCATTGCATTTCTCTTGGCGGAATTTACACTGTATATATCATCTAGGTTTGTGGAGCAGCACTGTGGTTTATGAACAGTGCCATAGATTCTAAGTGGGATTAAGTTTAGAGCCATTCTACAACATAAACGTAGCAACTTTATCACCTGCAGTATTTTTTTTAGTCTTGTGCTTGGGGTAATTGTACTACTAAGGTGAGTATTCACTTGGATGCCTTACAAGTATACTAGATGTTCTGCATTTGCGCACAGGCTCAATCACAATGTTGAGATAATATCTCTATCTCTAAAGTACACTGTGGAGTATTTATAGGGGTTCTCTAAGATATAATTGATTATGGTATTCATAATTAGGTTTCCATTAATGTGTATAATCACCTATAACTATTTTTTGTTGTGATTAGCTTAGAATAAGCCCTTCATATATACATAGCGAGCCGGTCTATTTCACTCTCTTCTCTTTGCCGTGTTACTACAGTACTTCAATCGGAAGAAAAAAAACACTGGCTCTAGAGAAGGCCTTTCATGTTGTTATGGCAATGGATGGCCACTGTAGATTTTTGTACACGCTTATAAAGGGAGAGGTCCACAGTTGGTTGCAATTTAGAAACCTCACTATTACACAGTGTACCTTTCAATTACATTGAATCAAATTCAGCGATGATTCGCCAAAATTAAATAAACAAAAATATTTGTCACACTGTTACCAGTTCAACAAATCTGGTTGGCCGCCTAAAAGCAAAAAAGATTTTGCAGCAGTGTAACATAGCTTCTTCATTAGTTGTCAAAAAAAACGTGTAAGCATATGTAAGTATTGTTTGCAGGGGGGGGGGGGGGGCATTGTAGTAGTGTTATTTAAAATCTTTTTAAAAATAATGACAAAAAACAAAGTGACGCATATGGTCATCATTAGGTGACAACTGTCAATAAAATAATAAAATCCAACTCCAAGTCACCTTTCACTTGAATAAAACTGTCTTTTTCCAAACACTGGTATTATTACCTGTGAGGTAATGCTCCAACCCTTCTTAATGTCTCTTCTTATATCATAATTCATTTAACGACATATTTGACAGTGATACTTCATACTCCTCAAAAGCCTTTGTTAAATTCACAACAGAATAAGAATCTCCAAAGCTTTTCAGACTGACATCATGCTTTACACAAGGGTGTGTACACAGTTATTGCACTATAAGAGAAAACATGCCATCATTTCAATACAAATTTGAACCTCGTATTTTGTTTTTCGAAAACATTTTAATAGAACATATTTAAACATATGAAATGTTGAAACAAAATACAATATTTTGGCATTCTCCAAACCAGAGAGTTGGGGGTTTGGTTAAGGAAATCTAACATAAATTGAATTTGTTCTGTTGGTTTGTCAGTCTCTTGTGTCAAAAAGGATTATACGTGTCTTACATGTGTCTTTCTAGTTGAAAATACAACTTCAGCTACAACATAGTGCTCTAGTCACTTAAGAATCTGAACAAAAAATTGCTCAATTGACTACATTTCTAAATGAACCCAACATTAACTGAGGCATGTGTTCCCTTTGAGGTCACTTTCTTATCTGGGGAGGTGAGACTTCAGGTGTTCCTTTAGCGCTGGTATGGTGGGAAGCTCTTTACGACAGATGTGACAGCGGAGAGGAAGTTTCAATAACTCGCTGGTTCCTTCTTTGACGGTTACTTTCCCATCTGTTTCCAGCATCTGAATGACATCTGTAAATAACAAAAAGTGTCAAAAGTTATTGTAGTTATAGAAACAATTTACCACTGTGATTCAAGTCGTCAACTTATAAGATTTGCAATTTGTTCTCACCTTGGGAGTCCATGAAATAGTCAGTTGTGAATGAGTTCCAGTGTTTCTTGTTCTTTAAAGAAGGGGAGTCAAAGTCTTGGCTGATCACATGCAAGTGTACTTGACTGTAAGAGAAAATATACACAACATTTGTTAATTTCATATACATTTATAGCAAATATGTATTAACCATTTTGCTCATTAACTATGGGGTCACATTTTCAAAATGGGTACCACCGTTTTTGTTTTTGGTGGTATTGGGGTAAATGAAATGTGTACACCACCAACAATGACTTCTGATTTCTGTCTCAAGTAAATGAGCTAAACAGGCTTACTTTTGATAATAACATTTTATTGCCATTATGTGACCTGCATGTAAAGCAGAGTGAGGCCAGTGCATTGATACTGCAAATTAAAGGGGACATATCATGCTATATTTGAACAATATATTGTAGGGCCATACCTATATAAAGTATATAAATATAGTTTTTTTTTCAAAATACCAAACAGATCCTGCATTTTAGCCATGCCTCATTTCGCTCTATTTGCTCTTTCCAGCGCTGTTTTTGCAGGGGGCTGATTCTGTGAGCTGCAGCTGACCACGCCCCCCTGCAGGAGAGGGGAGCGTGCTTTGAGATCAGCTGCTGGGCTGTCAGAAGAGGGGGAGAAAAAGAGATCTCCGTCCTCCGTGTTTTATTCTTATAGAAGTAAGAAGAGAAGTAATGGGGCAGAAACCCTCCTTTTTACTCAGCGGTCCAGACATAGACATCAAACGGCGACACATATTCAGTTGCTAGTTACTTTGGCATTAGGGCAGGGATATCTAGATACTTTCCAAGGTTTGACATAATGAATTGTGCTACTTGTAAAGCAAGCAACGATGTTTTCAAATCTGTAATCAAAAAGCTCATCAAAAACGCTATCGAAGCAGTTCCTGCCGTTGCTACGTTAGTTCAAACAGTAACAACGGACTATTTTTTTTAGTGGATGCATGTCAATTTAAATCAATACAACTATTTTTTAAATCAATAAAATCATTTTCTAAATCCATAAAAGCATTTCAATTAATATTGGGAGTCATATCGTTACTTTGTTGAGAATGTGGCCAATGTGACAGCCTGTCTGTGTTCTTTTCCCCATAATGACCGCGTCGCTGCACATTATCCCTTACATATGTCATTATTCATTTGTTTTAAAGCAGGAGGCGCAAACACTTGCCTCGGGGAGGGAGAAAAAGAGCCACAGCGGAGAATAAACAGAAGGGCAACCATGGCAACCATGGGCGGGAAGTCTTCTTCGCTGCTTTTGTGGCAGACTACAGCGCCACTTACAGGCCTGGCATATGTACTACAGCGTCTCCAGAGCTTTCGAGCGGCAATGGCCGGCCGTGGCCCAAACTCTCATTCCCCTGATAGGTGGAGAATTGACCACTAAGCGGAGGACCCCTTTTGTGACGTAGAAAATAATTCAAATCTGGATCAGTCTGTATCATATCCGTTACAGCCCCTTTTTTAGAGATTTGGGTATAGAGGAAAAGAGAGAGGGTTGTATTTTCTGACACTTGGTGACTTCCCTGACCGGGGACACATATTCATGTATAAAAGACGTACAAGAGTGCATTTTGCATGATAGGTCCCCTTTAAATACTCAAAGAGAATTAACTTGGGTAAGTGTTGAATACAACAATAAAAGACCATTTAAAAAAGGGAAGAAACTATTTCAAAAGGAAGAAATCACAGAAAATAAATCTAGACTGGTAAAGACAAGGTGGAAAATGATAAATGCTTTTGGTTTAGCCAAAGGCAGCCATTCTTAAACTATGCTGTTACTGTACTAGCTTTAACAGATATCAGTGGCTGTCTATAAGTGAAAAGGCATGATGTTAACAGATAATATCCTGTAGAAATAATGCCGGTAAAATACAGTATTTTAAATAAATCCTGAAACACCAGCCGGGTCCTTATTACTTACCTCATACTGGGGATGGCATGGTACCCGGTGCGGAAGCGTAATGATGTGGCATCTGGGCATTGTTGAACCATCTGCTCAGCGACTTGATGCATGTGTTTCACCAGATCGTAGTGCTCCTCTCGCAAGGCCTTCAGGCTGGAAATGGTCTGCCACGGGAGGACCAACCAGTGGTAGCGAGCTTTGGGGTATTTATCTTTAATGACTACTACTTTATCATCCTTATACACCTAGAGAATGAAGACAGTTATTTGATAACATTTGATAACATCCAGATCAGTAAGTATTATAGCAACTGTTATTTTGTTTTTTTTATAAAAGCTACCTGCATCTTTGGGTCTTGCATTGAGGTCTTCAGGCCTTGGCTCCAAGGTGCAAAACTTTCCTGCAAAAAATGTAACGTTATGATTTTTTTTCTGTGTAACAGGTCTTAATAAAATGTATTCAAGATAATTGGACATTTGGAAGTAATTAAAAAATATATATTTCAAAAAGGTTTCTTCTCTCACTGTGTTTTTTATGTTTTCTCCCAGGCTGTCTGGCACAGAGATCTTTTCTGTCTGTTTGGCTGCTTTCACACTCAGAGCCTCTCTGTGGCTCTCTCTCTCCTCTGAAGCCATCTCTCGGGGTCTTTTGTTTCCCCCGTGGCCCCCGGTGGTATCCTCCTTGAACTGTACAGTGTATAGGTAGAGCTGGTTGACAATATGAAGCTTCTGTCTGGCCTTCATTTTGACCTCACTGTCCTTACCCACCACCACAGAGTCTATGGATGTTGGATTCAAGCCCAGCTTGGAATAAAGACAGAAGATGCAGAGTGATAAATAGAGAGTGGTGGATTAAAAGTAATTTATCAGACTGAGCATACATTACATTACATTACATGTTACTTGTTAGATGCTTTTATCCAAAGCGACTTACATACTCAATACTGTGGACAATCAACCAGGGACACAACGACATGCTGCAGTGGGGTTTGCACCTGTGACCCCCTGATCCCAAGAGCAGGGCTCTATCCACTGCGCCACACGCCTCCACAAGCATTCCACACAATCATTGCATGAGTTTCAAGCTGACATGCGTCTTACCTGTTTAACTTTGACATAACCTTTGTTGCATTCTGCTTTCAATTCAACTGGTTGGGAAGGAATACAATATGTACGGATTAAAGTTTGAATAAAAAAGAACAGTATATGACAATTATTTAAACCGCAATGTACACAATGAAATTAGAGAGGAATATGTGTTTTGTGTGTTATTGTGTATTTGATAGCCTGTAACCAGCTTTTGATCGTATTATGTGTACTATGTTATACACTGAGGTGTACAGTTACAAAGTACATTTACTCAAGTACAATTTTGAGATACTTGAACTTTACTTGAGTATTTCCATGTTATGTTACTTTGTACTTCTACTCCACTACAATTCAGAGGTAAATAATGTACTTTTACTCCACTACATTTATTTAGTACATAAAGTTACTTTACAGATGTTGATTAATGATGTGCAATATAATAATCACTTAAATCAGACTTTAGTTACACCTGGAGTAGATTCACAAGCTCCCTGCAGAATACAAAGTGATTATCACTAGCTGCCGATTTACCAGCATTGATAAACACTGTAATGCATCAATAATTATAATCAAAACTTATAACATATATTATTCTAAAATTGACCAATCTGTATTAAAGAGAACTTGTACTATTTTTATTTTAAGGATATTGTGATGCTAATACTTTTGTACTTTTACTTGAGTAACATTTTGAATGCTGCTGAGTACTCCTACACTCTGGTATTTCTACTTTTACTTAAGTACACAATGTTAGTACTTGTGCCACCTCTGGTTATACTGCATTGTATAATGTAATATATGTCTGTTGGAAAAAACTATAATAAACAATACCCCATGGTGGAAGCATGACATTTATTTTTATTTTATGGCATTTCACTATTTGTTTACGTTTGACTGATGATGTTAGCTAACATAGCCAGTGCATCAAAAGAAATGTATCGTTTTTTGTTACGTTACCTTGGTGCCGAGAGCATTTTTTGTCTTTAATAGTCGTCTCTGGACCTCGACCCAGGACCACAGTCTGCAAGTGAGGCAGTCGGATGGGTTTGTGATTGCCCTCCTCGCTGATAAGCCAGCAAATCGGCATTTTAGCATATTATGTGCGATTGTAACAGTCACAAAACGGTTTCAGCCCACGCTTTGTTTTGGTGAGCCGGGTCGCAGGAAATAGACGTCACTGAATCAGCTTTTTGTAGAGGCGAGTTGGAAGCTTCTGGAAGAGCCTTTCTGTAAACTGAGGCTGTAAGGATTCAAACTACTGTTTCCATACAAGGTGAGGAAATGATAATGTGCTTAATATGGTGTATATATCAGCTTCACAGTTTATTCAGTAATTTGTGGTCAGAAAAAGCATAGAGCTAGCGTGTTAGCATTAGCCATGCTATCAGGGGTTTGGCTAGTACACGATTAAGTTAGCTTTATAATCGTAGGCTTAGCCTCTGCATTTACGTTGTTGTGCTTCTCTTGTTGTGAATCAGTGTTAAGACACAATAGCAATTGACTCTTCGTTAAACATACTTTCACATTTTTGAATTAATTATATTGGTAAAAATTTAAAATTACAATCTTGATTACGTTTAGATGAACATAGTTAGAAAAGCTCAAGTGTAGTTGTTGACGAATGGCACATCTGTTAAGTTTCGTAACTGCATCGTACACGTTGTGAGGCTAAAATGTAAATGAGTCAACATACAAGTGGCGACCGATCCCCCGTGTGTTCCTTTTAGCTTTTCACTTAAATGCCTAACCGGAAGCTTCGAATCTGAAACTAACTTCAGCGTGTCATGTAAGGGGCTAGCTAAAGTACGAACAGTGATATATATGACTAATTGCCACTGTCTTCACCATGAGCAGTAACAGGTAGTTGTTAAGAATCGATTATTACCTCGTGTCAACCAAAAATAAACTTGTGGTGGACACAGTGCGTGGCTGAGCCCCTGCCTCCCTGATGTGAGGAAACCTTTCATAACATATTAAGTATTTCATCACAATCAACTGTTATCCACATCACATGATGTAACTGCTACTGATCATTCTCCAGAAATGGAAAGCGAAACTAGGGAACCTTTTGTAGGATCCACCCATGATCTAGCGAGCCAATAGGAATTTCAATTGCTACACCTAGCTATTTTAGAGATGTATTGATTCAATGAACTGTTCATTGTAGAGATTGTAGTTGTTGGTGCTGTTGAATTGTGCTGTGTTCACCCTCATATGTTAAAGTGGGGATTTTAGGGAATATTCGCATTCAATTCAATTCAAGGCTTTATTGTCAAGTAGCTACATTTTAGATATGGCAATGAAAAACTTAAGTCACAGGCTCCTCCAACAATGCAACATGAATATATATATAGGACATAAAACAAATAAAAAAGTGCAAGAGAATGTTTGAGATGTTGCAATTAATGTTAGAATAATAAAAAGGCATAAAGCATATATTACAATTTAGCCCTTTTTCAAGCTAACTACAACCCTCACATGTTCACATCCAACAACATGAGGTCCTCTCTCACAGTTCAGCCAGATGATGATGTGCTTTGAATGTTTTTTCATGGTTAAAAGAATATCTTCCTCTTGTCACAATGACATGGTGCAGGCTCGTACTTTATTACCATGTTGTTTCTCTTTTATTATCAATACTGGTAGGCACATTGTGTAGATTTTGAAGGTGTTTAAGAGCTAAACACTAACTAAATGTATGATATGTTTTCATCTTTCTTCAGATTTTCCAAGGTTTGTCGGTGAAAGACAATCATGGTGAAGGAAACGGGCTTCTATGACACGTTGGGTGTGAAACCTAATGCCACTCCAGATGAACTGAAAAGGGCCTATCGCAAACTAGCCTTGAAATATCACCCCGACAAAAACCCCACAGAAGGAGAGAAGGTAAGACTGTTTGCAGTCCTTTTTCTTACATAGAAAAGGCAACATATGTTATAGAAATGTCCACATTTATTGGTAAGGGTAGCATTCTTATACTTGAAACACAGCCTTATTAATGTGCACGTCTTAAAATATTTCAGGATGAAAGATATTAATACATTGATCTAACGAATCAGGCTTTTCTGTCATTTGGTAGATTTTATCAAAATGTTCTTTTGCCATTTGTAGAGGCCATATAAAAAAGTATTTAAAGGGCCATGGTATAATCAGACATCACCTATTAATTTTGCACACGTCAGCAAGGTAGATAACTTGTATATATTACATAAACAATTGTATATGTTGTAATATATTATATGTTTTTTCTTTATTTGACCTGTAGTTCAAGCAGATCTCACAGGCATATGAGGTTTTGTCAGATGCCAAGAAGAGAGAGGTGTATGACCGTGGAGGAGAAAAGGCTATAAAGGAAGGAGGGTCTGGTGGAGGAGGGGGTTGTGGTGGGAACTTTGCATCGCCCATGGACATCTTTGACTTGTTTTTTGGTGGGGGTAGTCGGATGCACAGAGAGAGAAAAGGTAAAAAAACATTTAAGAATGAATCCTTAAACTAGCATAATGTTTTTAGCTAAGATTTGATGTGTCGGTTTTTCTTGTCAGTGTTATAAAGCAATAATGTTTTTCTTCTTGGCCAGAGCCTCTTCTTTTAACTAGCATGAAGTTGAAATATGGAACACTTAGTTCATTGTTGACCAAACAAATGATTATTTCCAGAATTGATTAATGTGTGTTTCTTCTTTTGTCGGATCAACAGTCAAAACCACACAAATATTCTGGATATACTTTGCCATGAGACCAAGAACTGTAACCGAATTAAAGCCAAAACACAGGGCTGTGGAGAAAGCATGATCAATGAAGTCCTAACTGGCTGCACAGCAACTTATGATTGTATGTGTGACCATGCGGTTTGGCTATAAAACCTCCTGAGCCTTAATAGAGAAGTAAACACACAGCTGCTCTCCACATAATGCCCAGTATCATCTCTCATCCCAGTTTCTCTTGTTCTGCAATTAGGATTATTAGGATTTATGTTAGGTATGTTGAATGTTATTTGAAGGAAACTGATACAAGGAGTGTCTTGTAAAAATCTCTCCAACTGCCAACCTTATTCCAAGAAATGTGATTTGTCCCGTCCCAGGAAAGAACATTGTTCATCAGATTTCAGTGACGCTGGATGATCTTTATAACGGAGCTACAAGGAAACTGGCCCTTCAGAAGAACACTATTTGTGAGAGATGTGAAGGTATGTCTTCTGCTATACTTTCTGTGTACTTGTAAGTATTTATCACAGACCTTGTTATGTAATACTAGGGCTGCAACAAACGACTAATTTGATAATCGATTAATCTATCGATTAATGAAACGATTAATCGACTATTCGGACTATTATGCCTTGCACAATTTCTCAAACGCTCTTATTTAGCCATCAACTTTTAGATTTAGCTTGAGGTTGTTTTAGGCATGTGGAAACTAACAATGAAGACAATAAAGATGAATACTTGATTCAAAAATACATATATTATTAAATTAACTAAACACATTTTGAACAAAATTAACATTGCTTTTTATTTAAATTAAATAAATAATATTTCACATCAAAAGAAACAACAGTGTTTTAACAAATCGTATTAAATAATCTGATGACAGAACTGTAAACAGAATAGCTGAAACTTTAACAAACTAAATAACTCAGTTTCCTCTAATCATTAACCCATGTTTGTATAATGGAGTTAACTCCGTGTGTTGCTGCTAGCATACATAACACCTGACGTGGAAACGTTACTCGTGGATGGGGCTACAGAGCTACTAGAAAGACGGTCGAACCCGGTGCATTTCTCCGTCTGAATGTGGAGCACTTTTGCTAATGTTTAGACAAATTGCTTGTGTTCCCGCCCTTACATGCTAAACTCTTATTGCACTTTTGGCAACGAGCATTGTCCACATCGAGACAGGTAAAGTTTAACCACACCTCGGAGCGCGTTCTCTCCGCCATCTCCGCAGTGTGTTGCTGCATGTAGCAGCTGCGTGTGTGTAAACTGCCCCGCCCCCTCGCACACAGACGGGAGAGAGATCTCGTCTGATCGAAAATACATCAAAGACGCAATTTTGTTGTCTTTTTGCATATTAGAAACGAGTTGGCGACACTAAGACTGCGATATAATGTTTTTGTAGCAATAATACATGACATATATTTTTTAAATGTCTCCAGTACCGATAAAAAGACCGATAACGTTGGAGCTTAACGGCGCGTAAAACACACATAATGACGTCACCAACGAATCGACGACTGAATTAGTTGGCAACTAATTTGGTCATCGATTTTAATCGATTAAGTCGATTAGTTGTTGCACCCCTAAATACTAGAACGCTTTCAAGCAAACACAGACGAAAGCAGGCCATGAAAAGCCTCTTTGTTCAATCACAAACACCTCAGTCTTATAAAGGTAATCCAGTACTCGCTCGCCATGACACCACACTTTATTATATGTGCCGGACCTTGAACAGAAAGTGCCTTCATCTTTGTCATCTTGTGTTTAGTTTATTTGTCGTGGACAGTCCCCATTGATCAACTGTCACACAACACAGTAAATGGGGCAGCTTTAGCAAACATTGCTAATTTCCAGCTGTTGTCCCCGACCAGATGATAATGGTCACCCTTAAAATCACAATACATCAACAGCATTAGTTATTAAAAAAAAGGATGAAAGACAAGTAGATGCAGGTGAAAGGATAAAAGAGAACAATAAATTGCAAACAACACACGTTCCTACATACATGTCAGATACAGCACATCACAATCACATAACAGAAACCAGGGGCAACATCCATGATCACAACATGTAACTAGGGTGACCAGGTTTCCCGCTTTGTGCAGCATTTTTATAATTTGTCCCACAAATGTAGCCGATGTCCCGCATTTGATTGACAGTCGCCCGTCTTAAAGGCTTTTATACAAAGGTGTGTAGAAAACGAGAAGGGCCATCATCACCATTAGCGTAGCAGATGTCAATCAATCAACAGAGAAATGTATTAACTTATGGGTGGAGCCGGTGGAGGGCGAGTTATTGTCAGATTTGCCAGATTTTTTAAAAATTACTCACAGAGGTGAATATGTTTTGAAGAGACGCTTCCCTGTAACTAAAAAAAAACGCCTGACCCATAAAGAAAATATCGATCTATGGATACATTCCTCCTGAAACCAAAATAACTGAGGTAACAGCAGCTGATTTAATAAACGTTTAGCACGCTGTGCAGCAATCGGTTGCACAGGTCAGCAGACTGTGGCAGTAAACTAGCTCCGGTCATTCTTTTCTGGTCATAATCATTTGTTATGTTAATTCCATTCAAAACAAATATATTTAATTCCTTCACTTGCATAGTTTGTGCAAACATTAAACCAAAGTAAAGTGTTGTTATTCATATTTATAAGCTTATAGTTTCATAGATATGTTGTTAGATCGACATTTATATAAACATCTAATCTAGCTCTTAGCAATGCAGTAACATGTCCCGCATGTTGCTTGTTGGCACCTGATCCCCCTACATGTAACACACACTCTATATGCAACACAGACTAGTGAGTGCAGGTGTAGTTCTCAGTGAACCTTGTGTGCTGACCGTTTATTTCTCTCGGCAGGTCGTGGGAGTCGGAAAGGAGCGGCCCAGATGTGCATGTCCTGCCACGGCACAGGGATGCAGGTCCGTATGCACCAGCTGGTCCCAGGCATGGTGCAGCAGGTGTCCACCGTGTGCCACAGCTGCCAGGGCCAGGGCCAGAGGATCAGCCACAAGGACCGCTGCAAAACCTGCGTGGGGAGGAAGATCATGAGGCAGAAGAAGGTCCTGGAGGTCCACATCGACAAAGGTAAGAGATTGAAGAGAGAGCTTATGTAAATGTTTCTCTGACTGTTGAACAAGAAAAAACAAATACGGATGATTTAACTTCCACAGGAATGAGAGATGGCCAGAAGATCGTTTTCCATGGAGAGGGAGACCAGGAGCCGGGCATCGAGCCAGGGGACATCATCATTGTCTTGGACCAGAGAGAACATTCAACTTTCACAAGGTAATATTTTCTCTTATCATGTGTCTTTTTTGTTTGTATGTATATGAGTCAAGGGTTTTATTAACAGAATACGAAACATTTGAATAAAACATTGCAGGTGAAAAACACAGAATGTAAGGTTAAATATTGTTCAGTGAAATACAATTAAATGCTGTTTGATCTAGTGATAACTATTAAGATAATACATTAAATAAATTCTAAGATGCAACCAGATGAATGAGAGATAGTAATTCTAAGATTCTTGTATGGTCGATTAATGCAGCTTGTAGAGAGAGGGAATATATATACCTGGTTTTTGAATACTCAAGTGGTATATGTCATAGTTGAAGCATCCATTTTAAACACCAGATGTCAGTATACATCTTAATAATAACCCAAAGCCTCATTTTGCATTGCTGTTTGAAGTTAAACACAATCAAATTCACATTGCTTTTAAATCTTGACCTATTAGTAGCTGATTCTGTACCCTGTGCTACATAGCAACACGCTAACATCACCTTGTTTTTCCTTTCCTTTTTTTCTACTCTTCTTGCTGTCACCAGGAAAGGAGAGGACCTGGTCATGTCCATAGAGCTACAGCTGGTGGAGGCTCTGTGTGGTTTCAAGAAGCCCGTTCAGACAATGGACAACAGAACTCTCCTCATCACCTCAAACCCAGGTGAGCCAAAGGATTTCCTGCACCAGGATTACAAATGATTAACATTTGAAATGATATGCATCAACATTTATCATAGTTAGCAGGGCTGGTTCATCTAACAGACATCAGTCACTCATATAGCTGTTAGCTGTCACACACACACACATGCAGCGGAATGAACACTGCTGAGTCGTGAGTGTGTTTGTGGAGAGTTATTCATTGCACTCCACACTTCACTGTATTGATGCTCCACTGATGTTGATCAAATATATGAATGCCCAGATTTAGCTAATTAATGGTCTTGTAAATCAGTCAAACTGTTGTGCAAATAAAACAAACCGTTAATGGTGTGATCTGGCCGGCTAAGACAACATGAGACATCTCATTTCTATTTTTTCCAAATTGAAAGATGATGGTACATTACGTTGCTAAGTCAGTCAGTGTAAAAAGTTTCAAAAACATCTGATCTTTGCTGAAAACAATTAATAGGGTATGCCCTGGCCCCGATGCATTGATATGGGATTGGCAACATTATTTAAAATGACGAGTGAAGTGTTTCTGATTTTCCTGCCTAAAGTGACCCATTTCCTTAATCACAGGGGAGTTGATCAAGCCTGGAGACACAAAGTGCGTCGTGAATGAAGGGATGCCCATGTACCGCAGGCCGTTTGAGAAGGGGCGTCTTATTATTAACTTCACGGTAGGAAGACTAATATTCATATTCATTGTCTTTCTTTCATTCTTTTTCCCTCTTTTTTCTTTGTTATATCTTTTTTTTCATATGCTTTTCTTTCTGTACAAGACAATAGATTGATATGAGCCTAATAAGCTGTGTTCTCATGAACTCTTGACAATCTTCAGAGAATCAGATTTGCACATTGTCTCCCCCACATTGAACATATGTCTCTGTCAAAGTTATAAAACCTAGATTTGTTTCACTTATGCCTTTTAGTTTACTTAACAAAAATAATCTCAATACTAAACCGATAAGGCTGAGGAGTTACAAGTTTGCTGTTTTCCTACAGGTGGTGTTCCCGAAAGCCAACTTCCTCTCCAAGGACAGGCTGAAGGAGCTGGAGCGCTTCTTCCCAGAGAAGCCGGATGCAGAGCAGCCAGAGAGCATGGACGACGACCTCTACATCTACGCCGACCTGGAGGACTGCGACATGGAGAAGAGAAGAAGAAACAATCATCAGTACTACTACATGGAGGAAGAGGACTACGCCAGCCCGGGGGGAGTTCAGTGCCAGACGTCCTAAACAACAACTGGCCTCCATCATCCCTCAGCCCGACCCTCATCTCTACAGAAAGGCACCTTTTTGGATTTTTGTGCACTTTTTTATTTAATTTTTTCTCTTAAGATAACAACTGTTGAAGTATTCTGTCAATCTGAATCAGAAAAAGGTGTATCAACCCCCTCTTGATATATTATTTGAACACTGATTGGATGGAGAAGAGTATCCTGAAGCTCCTGGATTCAACTCCGATCTGGGACAATGGGATTCCTCTTCATCTCTGGGACTTTTATTTGTTTCTTTTTTTTCAATCACACTGTGATAAGAGGCGAGGGGTATCACAGAGGCTTAAGAGAGACTTTTGTCTGAACAAAGACTGCCTGCTTTTTATGCATTTACACTAAAACAGATGCCAATATTAATATGAGAATAATCTTTTTTTATAGTGTTGCTAGATCAGCTGTTGTTGTGAACCAATTGTTGGTGACTTGTTCAATCCGTTGTAAAGACCCAATCTTCAGATGATGGTGAGGGGGGGGGGGGCATTGAGTTGAAACAGTTCTGCTGTTTGACCCTTTCAAGGGCTATTTTCTACACATTTCTTAACAATCTTGAAAATGTGGCAAGAAGACGTGAACTGCGAGTAAAGGTGATAATGATTCAGGCATGGCAGTATTTAGGTTTAAGCCACTAATGTAGATTATCCAGACATATATTAAAGTTTAGTTTAATATATAATGTTTGAGCTGCAATCCGTTTTTGTTTTTGTTTGGGTATAAACAACACAGTTAGATATGAGCCAAATAAGACATAAATAGCAAGGTAGGAAACCGGTAAAAAAAAAGGTTAACAAAACAGGTTAGAGGTAAGAGGGTCTTAAAGACGTAAGCTATGTGGATAACGTGGATTCAGAAATAATATTTAAACATCATTCTGTGTTCTTGATTTGATGTGGTTCGGGGCTTTTATTTGGCAAACAAGTTCTCTTAAAACTCAAAGAACCTGCTTCTTAAGACGGGTCCAAAATGTCTTCATGTCTTTTCATTTTAAAAAGTGTGCCAAGTTCCCCCACAAGTTTTACAAAAAACTGTGATTAATGTTAAATTGTGATTTTAAACATTGAATCTTCTTGAGCTTATTGCAGGTAGGCTATGTGATTTTAAAATCATTATAATAAAAAAAAAAAAAAAACTTAATCTGGATTTTAAGGCCCCGGCCACACAAGGACAAAAACGGCTAAACGCATAGGATTAACGCAAACGCAATCACAAAAAAGTTTCCGTCCACACGCAATATTCACCGAATAGTGTCTGTCCACACGAGACAGCTCCGTTTAGCTCCAACCGCTGGAGAAGCTGCAGTACATATGAAGGAGCCTGTACGTGGCGCTGTAACTTCCTCCACAAAAGCAGCGAAGAAGCATGGTTGTCATGGTTGCCCTTCTGTTTATTGGGGGCCGAGGGAACCGGGCAGAGTTTTTCGCCAGTCAACGTGTATTAAAGTTTAAATCTACCGGACAAAATTATAAAAGTGCCGGTCAAAGGTCTTCTTTGTTATTTATTGAGCTTTAAAACAAATGAATAACGACTCTATATAATATAATAATAATAAAATACACGGAGCCTCTCTTTTTCCTCCCTCTCTTCGGACAGCGCCAGTGTCTCTCATGCAGCAGCTGATCCAGTAATGAGTGACCCGGCCGACAGTAAAAATAAACATATTTATAACTAGTTTGAGAGGTAATTAAAATAGCTAAGGGTGATGATCTGACTTGAAGTGTGTGTTTTACTCCGTTCACCGCCGCATCACAGCGGGAGGAGCTGCAGGTGAGCAGAGCTGCGTGTCTCCGTCCTGTCAGATTAAATTCACTCGCATTTAGCTCCATATCGAGAGAAAGATAAATAATCTGAATTCAGTGTGCAGTTTACTTTGACGCGGGGGTGAGCAGCAGAGGTGGGGAGAGGCGGGGCTATTGCCTCATCATTATCAGAAAATGATCGTATAGGGCGCACACACGGAGCCGTTGGACCCCCCAGAGCGTTGCGTATGCCGTTCTATCCACCTTGGGAACCGTTACCGTAGTCGTTTAGTGCCGTATTCTGTCGTCCTAGTGTGGCCGAATGGTCTACAAAACGGTAACGGAAACGACCGTTATCGTCCTCGTGTGGCCGGGGCCTAAGTGTCTTCATTTCATATTTTCCGCCCTCAATGTTTTGCCAAACGTGTTGTGGGGAGGTTATTGAACTCTGAGTTGAAGCCTCTTTAATGTGTCTGCCTGTGTAAAAGCCTTACCATAACTTAACTTGAACTTTTCAGTTTGGTTTTTTTCAGTGATGACTTTGCCTTGGATATTGTAAAACATGACTGTGCTCATCGCAAGGGAGATTCCTTCAATTGTTGAAATAGATGCAAAATAATGAGTACTCATGTCAGTGGAATCAACTGAAATACGTGTTGTTAAGTTTCTAATGATTGATGCTATGTGTGTGTTAGGACCAAACATAAATTATGTTCATGTTTTCTAATTAAATGCCGTTTGATGGTCTCTCTAAATTGTGGCGTTACTGTGTGAGTGATGTTTTATTTTCCTGCTTTTGGTGTTAACTTCTCCTGACCATGGTTTTCTTTGCTAACTCATTTCGCTTTATTTCTTCTTGCTTTTTATTTCTGCTTGCCGTCAGCAATGCCACAGAACATTACACACATTCTACAATAGAGCTGCAACAATCTATTGGTAGGAAATGATTTTATTTACTGTTTATGAATATGTACTAGTATAGTCAATTGAATATCGTTTGACTTTGGACCGACGGTTCAACAACAGTTTGAAAGTTCGTATTTATTTTGTACAGACAAGCATATATTTTGTTTCAAATATATTCTATCATTTTGTTATTTAGGTTAATAAAAAAATAAATATATTTCCTCTGCATTTAGGAAACATCAGATTCCTTGGTGAGGGTTATATATATTTTTTTAAATATCACAAACACTGGAAATTATAAAAGATCTTTAATTGTATTTATATTCATCATCAACATAACTGGCAGTATTATATATAACAATAAAAACAAAGTACAGTGTGATGAATAAACATTATTATTGCAACAATAAAATATGGATGATAGTAAAGAGACAGACGATAGAAAAGACTACTGTAGTACAAATAATAAAAACTGGTCGGCAACGGGCACCTGATGCACAGCAACACATTTTAGAGTCAGTGCAGCAGAACGACACATCTTAACATGTTAAATACATTTATTATATACACACAGGATACAGAATGTGTCACTGGAGCTCCATTGAGGTTTATCGTTAGTCATCATGCAGATTTTCACTAAAAACATTATTGTAGAGCCACATTTAGACAGTTCATGAGGTAGCATGCGGGGAGTACAGAGGACAAAACACATTTCTTCTGAATTCAAGTTTAAAAAAGTATTATAAACAAAAGGTGACAAATCATTTACCTGATATTGTTTGTTTAAGCCCAAACTAGGCATTTTTTCTTATTCATATTTCGACAACAGTTCACCAACATGCATATGTGTGTCTAATAAAGACAGAAGACATGAAAGTGAGAATATAAACTGAACTGGTGAAGTTAGGTTCACAGGAAGGAGGTGTGTGCAGCTTTTAAACATCAAAAACCTTACAGATTATAGAACATCTATGAGAAAAATATTGTTTAAATTGACAAATATATTTCGTAAAAATATATCAATTAAGACCCATTTAGAGTAAAACATTAGTTTAAGACTTTGCTTAAAGAATCATTTGTGATATTCCTGTGATTTTCTTATTGTCAAATGAAAAGACCAAAACCAACAGTAAATGTCTCCCTCGTACAGCTTTGGATCAAAAGACAGAGCATTTCTCTGTGCCTTTAAAATAAAAACACATCAGTGAGCGACAGAGTAGGCAACATGTTCAAATATTACCATGAACATGGGTACTGTAGTTTATTAAGAGGCCAACCTACATGCACCATACTTCAGCTGTAAATACTCAGAGCACCAAATGTGTATTAATACGCAGCTAAATCCAGTCCCCAACAAATACATTATTTACTCATTTTGGATATAATTTGTTGAAAAAACTCATATTTAGCTTTTTTCCAAATCTTTAGTAAAAACCAAAGGACTTTAAGGTGCCACAAACACATTAGGAAAATAGGCAAAGTAGGCAAAGTATAGTTGGTTGTCGTCATTCATGAGATTCATTGGCAATAGGAAAATAAAGAATATATATATGGAATCCTTTCATTTTCAAAAGAGAGATGAAAATCATTATAACCTCGTTTCCATTTAGATTTAGCATCTTTGCACGCGTTTAAATGTTTTCATTTGACAACATTATTATTTTGACATTTTCCCCTTATGTTGCTAAATCTTTCTTATCCACCCTCCAACGTAACAAAACTTGCATTCGCTGTGTCTAAAATCTGTTGACATTTTTAAATGATTAGCAGGTAAATTATTACAATTGATTACAAAATAGAAATTAATGGCTGAGGTTCAACGTTTACATTTGAATACATTCAGGAAACAACTTCACCACAGGGTCTGTTAAGTAGCTGTTGTGTGGTGCTTTTCAGCACATGAGGGGTTGTAATAAGGAATAATCTTAAAAACCATTGAATTCAAAGATTAATTTGTAACATCATCTTTTGTGCCAACATTGACAAAAAGAAAAGAAAGTGCTGGAAGTTTTCACCTGCACTTCCATAACAACATCTTCAGATAAAGATCAATTGGATATGACCTTAAAGCTCAAGACCAGCTACTTAATAGACCTTGTGATGAATTTGTTTAATACGTCCATCTTTTTTCATTACATAGAAATAACTAAATTGCTTTATACCCATGTGTCTAGCCCTCTTCTGTATCAGGATGCAGGAGACAGTTTAAGGTTTCCAAAGCCTCAGGAGTCCATCCTCACTGTAAGTAGTGATCAGATTCTCATATGGGTGGTGAGCGATGCCAATTACAGCTTTTTCATGAACCTGCAGGTGCAGAGGAACACAGATCACCATACACTCTCCGTTTCCCATCATGCTCACTGTTACCTTGTTAGCTGCTGTAGACTTCTCTACAGCAGCACCGACATATCCAGAGTTTCAAGTGTGACCAAAAAATAACTAGATAAGAAAATGACTGCAAGCACAATGTAGATGAGCTGCCTCCTGTCACAGACTTGATAATGAGTGAGTATTATCAGCAGGGCTTACAGTCAGAGTTTTCTGCAGCCTCCCCGTTGTGTAGTTGAAGCAGTAGAGCACTAAGTCCTCCCCCACACAGTAAATCCACTCCCCTCTGGGGGACATCGTGCAGCAGACAAACTTGGCCCTTTCCTCTCTGTCTGAGCTGAAGGTCTTAATAGTCTGAAGAGAAAGAGGCAAGGACATTTGGTTTGTACATTTATTTTCAACATTGTGTGGTTATTGGCAAAACCAAAATATGAATTCCTATTAAATAAAGACAAAGAAGGTATAATGAACAATGGAAGTTCGGAAAGTTTAAAAAAACATTCACTTTTTATTAGCCAAACTAGCTTGTTATTATGGTTCCTCAGTTTGATCATGTTCCCCAGATGATGAAACCCACAGTATTATAAAAGCAGTCAATCTCGACATGAAAGTACCTATGTTCAATCAGTTTGAATATTGATTGTGTATTTTGTATATTAAAAGTCAGAGAGCGCTCACCTGACCGTGCATGCTCATGATGACCACCGTGTTGGAGCGGTTACAAATCACAAAGTGCTCTGGGTTTTGGGGCAGAGGAATCACGTTGTTGACGGGAACTTCTGATGTGTGGGACAGATTTTTGTAAGTGTGGATGCATTTTCCGGATTCTGTATTCCAAATCTAAAATGTGTACATAAATATGACATTAATACACTCTACCAGCTACATAATATTACCAATGCAGCATAGACATTAAAATAATATTCATCTTATACCTTAACCGTGCCGCCAGCGGAGGCACTGATGATGTGAAATCCATCTTGAGTGAAAGAAGCATCAGTCACAATCGATGAATGACCATTCAACTCCTTTAGTGTCGTGCCTGACCTCAGCGCATGGATTCTGAAAATGAGACGCAGAACAATTGATCGACCCATAAAGCTGTAAAAAAAAAATTACAAAATAAAAAAAAACAGAAGCTCTTATTCATTTTTCAATAATATATTATAGGTCTCAGTTACATACAAAACAGGTCTCTGAAGTGTTTGGCTTGAAATACCAAACACATTGTAGCATCCCATAAACCCCTCTGTTTCAGCCCTGTTTCAAAAGTGCTGATTCTGTGTCTGTACCTTTAAATGCTAATGAGCTGCTGCTGGCCCACGCCCCTCTGCCAGATATTTGGTTTAAAAGAACACAATGGTGCTCTAGGAGGAGATTCAGGTGATAAGGTGGGCGGGAATTACCTTGGTTGGTGATTGGCTAATGGTTACACAACCCAAAGTGGCCAAAATCTGATCAGCTCATCATCAGACAGGTTAAAATGGATCAGGACAAAAAGTGAGTAAATCTTTTTTCCTGAAACTTTCCGAATCTCTTTACACAGAGGGGACACATGTTTATGTATAACATACATGAAAACGTGGAATCTGCATAATAGGTGACCTTTAACAAATCTCGGTTCATTTAACTCAAGAGTGTGTTTTTTTTGGGGAACAGGTGAGACATGTTGCTGAGGTGCAGATGTTTTATTTGTAGCTCCTGTGCAGGGACTGGGTGCAGATTATAGCTTGCCTTATACCATGAGGCTTAATGCCCACTGAATCACTCTGTCTCTGGGAGAAATATTTTGCATAAGTCAACAATTCAGACTCCAAGCTCGTGGAATTTCCAAGAAGATGAACACACTGCATTTTTCTGTCTGAGCACATGGTCTCTGAGCGTTACACCCACACAGCAAAGGAGCTGAACACAGCAGAGAGACTCAGCCCACACACCCCAGGAGTCAGAAATAGATCTTCAACTTCTTAATTAAAAGGGGATTCAGTGTGTTTGTGTGTGTGTAAGGAAGTGAGAGAGCGAGAGACAGGGAGGGGAATAACAACCCTAACATATTTACATTAAGGTGCACTACTCTTGGAATCAAAACGTGATCATCAAATGCTGATCTCTGTGAAATAATGGAGCTTTTCAAAGGTTTGAAAAGACGTGCACTCCAAATGCCATCATGTTATTTTTGTTCCTTTTCCACAGTGTGTCAGCCATGCAAATATGAATTGTGTTACATCCCACCTGATGGTCTGGTTAATGGAGGCACTGAGGATCAGGTCGTTGTCCTTGGAGAAGTTCAGGCAGGTCACACCTTTGTGGTGTGCATGTTCAAACCTGCGCAGACACAAACCGCTCTCGATATTCCACACCTTGACAAAGAAACACACACATTTTTGAGAGAGAAGATGATGATATTATCGTTTGAACAACATAATTAACGTCAATTAATGTCATTTTTCAATATCGTAACACTGCTGTGGCACCATTTCCATTCAGTGATAAAAAGACTTACACAATGATTGTTTGCCTGTGTTTCCAAATATGCAGAATTATAGCAACCAATAGTATTGTAAGCATTATTATTATTATTAATAGTAGTTGGTGTAGTAGTAGTAGTAGTAGTAGTAGTAGTATTAGTAGTAGTAGTAGTAGTAGTAGTAGTAGTAGTAGTAGTAGTAGTAGTAGTAGTAGTAGTAGTATTAGTAGTAGTAGTAGTAGTAGTAGTAGTAGTAGTAGTAGTAGTAGTAGTAGTAGTAGTAGTAGTAGTAGTATTAGTAGTAGTAGTAGTATTAGTAGTAGTAGTAGTAGTAGTAGTAGTAGTAGTAGTAGTAGTAGTAGTAGTAGTAGTAGTAGTAGTACTATTAGTAGTAGTAGTAGTAGTAGTACTATTAGTAGTAGTAGTAGTAGTAGTAGTAGTAGTAGTAGTAGTAGTAGTAGTATGAGATTCAAACCTTTATTTTGCCATTCTGAGCCCCAGTTGCCAGTAGGTCTGTTTCCTGACTGAAGCACAGACACAGCACAGCATCATCCATCATCATGAAGCTATCATGGGCCTGGTACTTTAAATCCTAAATTCATGCAAATTCACATGTACAGAAACACACACAGCAGAAAAAAATATTATTTAAACCAAATAATTGAAAGATAGAGATTTACGTAATATTTCATCAAATGTTGTCATATTTATAGTTGCACTGTTACTTTTCTTCTGTAATTTAGCCATGTCGAAGTTGAAAATCTCTTTTCGGCTAAGTGTGTGGCATTACAACACTGATAAATACTTAAATTAACAAGCTACAAAGTTATTATGTAAAGTTATAAGAACATCTAAAATAAAGTAATCACAATACATTTGATAAACAAGCAGTATAAGACATTTCTATATTTTAAAATATCATAGTATGAAACGTAACTTACCTTACTTATTTTTCCAGTATTAAAGTTCCAGACCTCGATGAACCCATCCACCGATCCCGTGATTAAGTACTTTCCATCGGGAGAAAAACGGGCACACTCTACATGTGACCTACGCCCGAACTGCAGGTAGAAACAAAACCAAGTATTCACGAGCGTATGCTTGCTGTGATCCAGAAGCACTTAGACATAAAACACAAACATACATCACACGTTTTCCACCATGCTGCAGTCTGAAGTTGTTTAGTCTAACCATTCACAAACGTATAACAGAAGCAGAGAAAAGCAAGGACAAGAAACTGCAGGCAGCTCCATCCGGGTGAAAGTGATGAGAGCACAGCCTGAGACTAAGAGAAGTGCCTTTATGTGAGTAAAGCAATTCCTTTTTGTGTGAGGGCATGTTATATTTACATTGTGCGGACATAAATGTTTTAACACAGTCACATGATGCCTACTGGCCTTCGTTATGGGTTAAAAATGCAACTCCCGAAAACAAAAATAATTATCTTTTAGAGTAAAGACTTAAGGGTTAAGTTAGGGTTAGTCTCATGGAAATGAATGTTGGTCCAAGTAATTTCCTCTTAACTGATAACATCAGTGTGTGTGTGTGTGTGTGTGTGTGTGTGTGTGTGTGTGTGTGTGTGTGTGTGTGTGTGTGTGTGTGTGTGTGAAATGACTCATTGAAAAAAAAGTCCTATTCACTGTAAATGCACTGTTTACAATTTTAAAAAGATAATAAACTATATATATTTATTTAAAGTACAGGAAGTTGTTGAGGATCTACCTTGATGTGGCGGTACAGCTGTGTTGGAAAGCTCTCCTTCTCCACATGTCTGTCCTTGTTGGCAGATGTGTCGATGGCCATGTCAGAGAACAGATGACCTGGACACTGCTGTATCTTTAGAGACTGTGGAACAGAACACATATTAATATTTTGTACATTTTACTTTTACAAAAACTCTACAAAATTACTAATAGTAAGAAATGCCAACTTGAATATTCAAATTAATTGATTAATTTTTTAAAAGCCTGAAATCTGTAAAAAACAAAACATGTGAATGGGAAAGTGCACTCTTTGAACAGCTCCAAGAACAAAAATGTCTTAAAAATAAAGACGGACTGTAATGTCTGTGTTCTCCACACATTTTCTTTTTGGAACTCTGATTGGTACACAAAAGTATGTGACATCACTTTTTTCCTGACTGAGCCCCGCCCACTTTCAAAGCTTTTAAAGGAAGTCAGATTCAAGAAAAGGAGATATCCCTCTTACGATATAACCAAAGTCTTTCCAATTTTGGGTTTTTAGGGCAACACCAGAGAAGGGGAGGAGAAATTAAATATTTGTTTCCCAATCAAATAACATTAAGTGGCTTTCCTTTGTCCTATAATCAGAGAATGAGTACTGAGGTATATGGATGAGTACTCACACCAACTTGTCCCAGGAGCCCCATGAGGCGAGAAGGGGGCACCACGCTGACCTCTCTCACCAGAGCCTCGGCTATTTCCCTGCGCCGCTTCTCCTTGCTGCCGCCATTTGGGTACGCCTGCAGAGATAGAGAGGACAATACTTCATGAAAAGCTTATAGAGATACAGTTTAAAAGAAAACCAAGTCATTGTCTTACCTCGCAAGGGTCAAAGTGGACGCATGTTAGCAGGGTCTCCAAATGAATGTACCTCTCTGGCTGCGTCTGCTTCAACATGATCATTGGGTCGGTTTGTCTGAGGAGCGAGCGAGCTGCTTCAATCTCCCTCATCTCAATGAGCTCCATTACTACCTGTTTGAGAGGTAGGAGTTACTGAGATGCTGCTAATTTAAACATCAAGCAATGAAAAGCCTTAGCTGATTGAGGCAAAAGCTCACCTGCTCATAAAGGTCAATCAGTGTGTTGTCAGGCAACTTGAGGGACTCGATAGCCAGCAGGACGGAGTCCCAGTGGCCGCTCTTTATATCTGCAATGAAGCTGTCGATGCTTTCCACTGTGTTGAGTGAGACGGTGGTCTCCTCCTGTAAGGTGGTCAGTGTTCGGTAGAGGTTGTTCTCCTTGAGGTACTGCATTATCAGGCGGATCACACTAGATGAGATAGGATCATTTTACACCACATGTTGACTGATAGTACCAATGTAACATTTAAATAATTAGAATGGTCTTCATTTGAACATTTGTGTACAAGCAATAACAGTAATATTTCTCACTATGTTAGTGATTTGTTTATAATCTCCGTCACACTCTGTCACAATGAGAATTAGAGAACAACTGAAACACTGTTTCGATTTCAAATGGCGTCAAACATGTGACCAAAGATTGTCTGGCACAACTTTCAAAAGACAACAATATGTGTAGTCAAATTGAGGAAAGCCATAGTGATCCTGATTACTATCCGCTCTGCAGTCTCTGTAGAAGCTTTTAAAAAACAACTGAGACCCATCTTTATTTTTACATTGGATTGTGTTTCTACTTGAGATGTGTGTGATGTGTTATGTTCTTATGTTTGTTCCTTTCGGGACTGTGTTTTGTTTTTATGTTAACCTTAATTTCTGCCTCATGTTGTTATTGTATTCATGTTTCTGTGGTATTAATGTTAACGTTTGTTCTTTCTTGTGAAGCACTGTGAATTGTATTTCTGTGAAAGGTGCTATACTAAATGTATTATTATTATTATTATTAATGTGGACTTTTGTCCCATTTCAGAGCAATCTGCTGAGCAATTACACAACTCTGTTGCATCCTGATCCCCCTCTGCTGTCACTCCATTAGCACCAAACGGTGACATGGATCAGTGGCACTGCCTGCTGACTGGATTGAAACCACCCACTGGTGCTCTTTGACAATTTGTATGGTACATTTACTCTATTCAACTTTTCCCTTCAAATCAAATCAAATCAAGTTTTATTTATATAGCACATTTATAAACGATTTTTGGTCGAGACAAAGTGCTGGACATATAATACAAATAGCCTACAGTAGAGACACTTTACAGCAAATACAACAGCACAGATTGTTCAGAATATCAGTATGAGAAAACGACACCCTCTATCCTTAGACCCTCACATCGTACAAGGAAAAACTTCCAGAGAAAACCCACAGTTTAAAAGGGAAAAATGGGAGAAACCTCAGGGAGAGCAACAGAGGAGGGATCCCTCTCCCAGGACGGACAGACGTGCAATAGATGCCTTGTGTAAATCGAAGAGATAAAACATTTTACAGCATATAGACCGAATGTTAGGAAATGCATGTGTCTGTAATAAGAAGATGAATCCACGAGGATGTCAGCTAAGCTTTAAGACGTTGAGTTTGGCAACAATGTGTGCTCCATTCCCACGTGTCCTCACAGGGAGACAACATAACTAAGCATTAAAAAAGCACACCCACATCCTTTCCAGAGATGGAGAGCCTATATTAACAACCCAGTCTCATGGCATTTCGTGTTCACCAACACGATTTTTAATCTATTGATTCGTGTTCACCAACACGATTTCCCCCTTTTTTTCGTGTTGCACAGCACGATTTTAAAAGCAATGTATTTCTACTGGTAATGTGTTTCGTGCCTGCAGCACGTCTTTTTCTCCGGTCGGGTCGTGGAAGACCGGAAGCTGTGTGGTTCATAAAAACATGTTCTTACTCAATATCAAGCCACAATTATTGCTTTTATTTTAAATCGTATAATTTCTGACTTTTGTTGCCGTCTGTGAGGAAAATAAATGGGGCTCAGAGCCTCAGAATACTGAAATCTGTATTTTAAAATATTTTGTTCGTTCTAATTTGTTATTCTTTTCAAAATAACACACTGTTATTTACTCACCAATAACACAGAATTATCCTTGCTTTTATTTATTGGTTTAATTCCATAATCTCTGGCTTTTTTGGTGTCCGTCAGGAACTGAATTTCAAAATAAAAATAACCGGAAACAGACGTAGGCCTATAAGGGACATTTCGAGCATCATTGCGATTGTCAACATGTCTGAGTTTAGGATGGCCAAAGACACTACACTACCCATAATCCCCAGCTATCGTTGGGATGTTGGAGTGGCAGTGCGCCAAGGTTACGCCGAGCGTCAAACAGCTGTTTGAAATGGAACGAAACCACGCCAGACTATCCAAAACTGGAATCGAACGCCCCCCCAGAACTACACATGTTGGCTATTGTGTTTCGCAAAATGTTCTATGGGACGTCTCTACTGAACGTTTTCGTTTTTCCCACAATTAGAAGTTGCCAGTATTAAACACATTGGTGTTATCAAATGTAAAACATATAATTAATAAATGGGTGAAAATCGCTTGTGTCCATAATGAGCAGCATTAATATATACCCACGACAGCTCATTGTTACTTTGTAATTCTACTCCACTACAATTCAGAGGTTAACCTGGTATTTTTACTCCACTACACTTATTTTAGTTACTTTGCAGATTCGGATTAATTATGTGAAATATAAACAACCCTTAAATCAGACTTTAGTTACACCTGAGTAAAATTCAGGTAAGGTGATTGTCAAGTGCCAACAATCAGGAGAGATATTTGATAGTTGGTGCTTGAGAAGACTAAACATGTATCTGCAATTGACATGAATGGAAACGTAATAAAGTATATTCATTACTCGTTATTCTCTACTAATAGTTCATTAAAGACTGTATATTATGGCTATTTTGCACATCCCTTTCAAGATTTCAAGATTTTAAAAGGTTTATTCATATACACAACTACGGTGTAGTTATGCAATGAATGAACAACTTGGGTCACAGGTTCCTCAACAGTGCATTACAAGACATCTATCAATATGTGTGTACCTCCACCATTAAACTGTCGTATTCTGCACATTTCTTATTCTATCTACATACATAAGAGTATAATTCATATGTATAATATCAGTTAAAATAAGTGCTTCAACATAGTTAACATTGCAGGAAAGCAATATATTAGACGTTAAGTACTTTGTCAGGCTTAATATCTATCTGTAGATAGATACCCCCAAAGTTTTTTTCTTATTTAAAAAAAGACCTTAATCTGTTATTTAATGTTTAAATAAAGGTTAATTCGTGTTTCTGTTTTGCACCTCCTCCTATTAATATCTTTGTACATCCTGCACTAAACTGTTTTATTGTAGAGATCACTTATAGTATCTTCTTGATTTTTTATATTCTATATTTCTATCACAGACCTTCTACTTTTCCCCTATGAAAGTATGTACTCTTAATATTTGTGTAATCAAATATAACACATAAAAACAATAATTCAATAACGTGCTTTAACCACTAGGAGGTGCACACAAGGACACACAGCCATAATAACTTTTTTTATTATATTATTAGTGTAGGACACTTATGTATGTACAACATCTGAAGATGTGTAGTTTTATTCATGCTTTCACATAATAAATTACAGCATATTGCTATACTATTTCAGACTCAGTATTTACATTCTTACATTCAAAGAAAATCAGTAATATCTTTAAAAACTACAAATCCTTTTATATCAGCTGTGCACCGTTATGGTATAAATATAACCTATCTATGAATTAGATCAAATGTAAAAGTCAGCCGAATTAGTGTTGATACTGCAAGGAGACTTATTTTTGTGAAGAGAAATTGAAGATGTTGTTTAATTGTTGATATATTTATGATCCACGTCAAGTATTTAGTTTCGGCGGCATTTATTCCGTTTTTCCAAAGGTCTTCTCATCAGGGCTCTATAAATAAAGAACTACGGCAGATCTGTAATATGTAATGCAGCCGAACCGTGTATTACAATGCCGTTATGTGATGACTTTCAAAGAGAAAAGCAAGAGCACTCGGAATTTAGTATTATTTTATTCTTTTAAAATGTTTTCCGGATTTCCTATAATATAAACACCAAATCCCAGCATGCATTGCGGCTAAAACATCCAATCAGCGAGCTTAAACCATAGCTGAGGATCTTGGGTAATCGCTCGAAATGCCTACGTCTGTTTCCGGTTATTTTTATTTTGAAATTCAGTTCCTGACGGATGCCAAAAAAGCCCGAGATTATGGAATTAAACCAATAAATAAAAGCAAGGATAATTGTGTGTTATTGGTGAATAAATAACAGTGTGTTATTTTGAAAATAATAACAAATTAGAAGGAAAACAATAATTAAAAAATACAGATTTCAGTATTCTGAGGCTCTGAGCCCCATTTATTTTCCTCACAGACGGCAACAAAAGTCCGAAATTATACGATTTAAAATAAAAGCAATAACTGTGGCTTGATATTGAGTAAGAACCATAGACTGTATATAGGTAAGAACATGTTTTTATGAACCACACAGCTTCCGGTCTTCCACGACCCGACCGTAGAAAAAGACGTGCTGCAGGCACGAAACACATTACCAGTAGAAATACATTGCTTTTAAAATCGTGCTGTGCAACACGAAAAAAAAGGGGGAAATCGTGTTGGTGAACACGAATCAATAGATTAAAAATCGTGTTGGTGAACACGAAATGCCATGAGACTGGGTTGATATTAACAGACACATGTAGAAGAGGAAAACAGACAACCTCTCACTAAGCGCCAGGAACGTGATTAAATGAATCAAAACGATAATTGCAGCTGATTTACAGGCGACATTGGCCATATGTCCAACATAAACAATAATACTCGTCTAATAATACAAATAAAGTGATAAAATAGAGTGAGTGTATGGAATATTGCGCAATATGGTGCACAAACCATGAGCAGACAATAAACAACATCAGAAACAGGCACATGTTGATACTCTTAATATTGTTGTTAATTGCATTGAAATCAAACAGTGGGCAAACGTCATGTCCTTAGAAGTAATTTCACATTGCATGGTAAGAAGGAACTTTTAGATAGACGCAAACATTGCTGCAAAATGATATTCCCACAAATTAATGATAAATAAGAGACACACTGTTCCCGCGCAATGCGTAACGAACAAATTAGTGTTTACAATAGACCCTGCCGTGCACATCTTATATTTTTAAGATGTTTGCTTTAACAGGTGCTACCATTATAATGTTTTAAGAGCACTTACTCAGAGGGTTCCATCTCCGCAGCCATGCTGATGTGGTCTCCTGTTGTTGCCCCGGACTGCCGCTCGCTAGAGCCACGTGAAAGCCGTGTGCCGAGGACCACCCACTACACGTGTTTCTCTTGTGTCTCGCATTTTCTTGCGGTGGGCACTAGTCCAAAAACCTTGTGACTGCCGCTGCAACGAAATGTCTTTGAGCTACGCCTCCCTCACCCTCTCTGGCGCATGCTAATGGCTAATATACAGAAGAAACATTTTCGGTCCACGTTTTATGGTGGGGAAGATGCTGCAGCGGCAGTCGGGCACGAGAACAGCAGTGTCAGCACCAAGGACATAACCGCGTGCGTCTTGGAGTGCTCGTAGACCATTGGATTTATTTACGAAAACGCATCAATCTGAAAATCACCCCAGTGCTCAATGCAAAGCTGGGTGTTTTTTGCACATGTATGTCTAGACTGGCATGCAGTGTGATAACCAGCCATCACTGTCCTCCCACTACACACTGCGGGGGTAGGGGGGGCTGGGAGGGTTTAACAGTCGACGATGGCTGTTACTACTTGAGGGTATTAAATATAGTGTTGCGTTTTGTGAAATGCTGTGGTGTCTTGCACTTCAGGGCCACCGTAAAATATGGATGCCTCTGCTAATAAACCCATTGGTAAGCAGGTGCCTCGTAAAATGCATTGTTTATTTTGAGGGTTTGACATTGTTGAGCTTCAGGAACACTTCCCAACCACCCCCCTTATAGTCAAATAAGGATGGTGGGAGTAACTAAGTAGATTTACTCAAGTACTGTATTTAATTACCATTTTGAGGTACTTTACTTGAGTATTTCCATGTTATGCCTCTTCTACTCCACTACAATTCATTCAGATGTATATTGTGTACTTTCACCCTACTACATTTATTTAATACCATAAATTACTTTGCAGATTTTGATTAATGATGTGAAATATAATCAAGACTGCAGTTACACCTGGAGTAAATTCACAAGCTACCCTGCAGTACGAAGTCATTCAAACTAGCTGCACCTTTACCAGCTTTGATAACACTTTAATGCATCAATAATTGTAATCAAAACATATAACATGTTATTCTGAAATCTGCACAAGGAGTACTTTAAGAATATTTTCATGCCAATACTTGTGTACTTTTACTTGAGTAACATTCTGAATGCAGGACTTTTAATTGTAACAGAGTATTCCTACATCTGGTACTTCTTATTTTACTCAAGTACAAGATATGATTACTTATCCCACCTCTGGCCAAATCACACATACAAATAGATTTCAGATTACATTAAAAGTCGGACTCTGCACTGTAATACAAGTCTCTATATGTATAGTCACTCACATTACATGGTAGACCAAATTACCCAAATGTTAAACTTAAATAACATCATCAATGGGTCTTGACCTGGGCTGCAGACAGACAGGTTGTGTCCTTCTTTTCTGTGGCATTAGTGACCTGAAGCTGTATTATCTAAAAAGCCTTCTGGTCAGCTAAACTAGACAGCCTTCAACATCTGCTGTCAGTTATTGGTCACGGACACAACGCCTGCAGATGTTCCCAGACCAGTGGTAACAACACAGCAATACTCCTAAAGGAAGGTTTATTTGATCCCTTGTGTTCTAGAATGTTGTATATCTCACTTGACCATTCAAAAACAATAATGATGATTATAAAAAAAGTCACAAAAGGGTAAGGATTTTTTTTTTTACCGTTATATTTATGTATTCAAAATAAAAAGGTTCTCCTCTGGTAATTCCAGTACAAAGTCACAGCCATTCACTCGCACAGTTGTTTGTTCAAAAGGTACAATCCCATCGTTAAAGGCTTTTGAATACATTTCAGAAAACAATTGTTAACCAGTTTGATATTGAGCAGACAGTTACTTTATCAAGCTAACCATATTATCTGGTAACATTTTCATCATCTTGAACAAGAGTACATGGTTTAGAGGAATCTGCAACTCAATGCTTAAATGACACGCATGTAATTCATGTACAGTAAAGCTCATGCATCTCGAGTTCTAATGGCTAGCATCCGTTGTAAAATGCATCTTATATTAACCATTTTGAACAATTAAACAACCTTGAAACCACTACAGGTCAAAAGTTGTAATGAGACAATCTGCTCAATGATTTATTAAAAGTATACACATTCTAAAACAGCTCAATGACTTCAATGGAGTATTGTCCGATGTCCTTGTTCACTTTCATCTTATTGAGCTCATGGAGGCTGCCCTCGATCTTTCCAAGCTCAGAAAACAATCTCACCTGAGGAGAAAAGAAAGGCATCTTGGTATTAATTGTTTCTCAGATCACTATTTTCTGATAAAACTGCAGATTTTTAAACCATACACAACCCAACATCCAATTCACCGGCAAATAAGAATAACGTATATATTAAAAATGATCTCACAATATTGATGTTTGGGTTTTTTATCCATCCAATACTAATACCAGGAGGCCACTTACAAATTAAGACAAAGGGAAGACGGTTTGTTACCTGAGACTTAACAAAGGTGTGGAGGTTGTGCAGTAAGCCTTTGGCCTCTGGAGTCATCGCTAGCACTGTGAAATGGGCATCCAACAGCAAGCATACCCAATCCATGATCTACAATCAAAGAAAAAGGAAACCAGAGTTAGGCATTTCATTATTTTCGAACTAATATGACTGTTGCATTCCACCTTTAGTTCATTACAAAAACAATTCATGGATTAAGTATACATTTTATTGCATTTATTATATCTCCAGTTCTTTGTTTGTTACACAATGAGATTTTATGTAAAAACTCTCTCCATCTTTATCCTTTTACACTGACTGTATACAATTCAGACCAAACACAGTTCAAGTCAACATAATGAGCCCAGTTTTTACCATATCATGGATTTCACAACCTGAAAAATTCAGATATGCCTGATCGTTTTTAATATCTAGTTAGACGTTGACACAGACCTGAGTCAGAGTTGGAGATCTCAATCCATGCATCTGCGGGAAAGCATCTTGGGAATATTTTAGGTAAAGGAACTGCAGGTACCGGAGGAAAAGCTGATTGGATGAGAAAGAACATTACATTATTATAAGCCTCTAGTATTAACGTTACTACATGGTACTGGGTATCGTTGTATGCTGCCCAAGTTGCCTTGCTGTTACTCACAACAACATGTTGGGGGGAGAGATCCTTCAGGTGAGGGAGGAGGAAGAAGTCGCTGTACGCTGTCATCAGGACCTCATTTCTATACAGCTCGAGTTAAGATCTCATACAAAGTCCACTCAAATCATTACACACCATAAACGTTGCATTTATGCAGTTTATACTATGACATACAGCTGTTACTGATACACAAGATGTAGGTTGAATGACAACAAAACGATTTAAAAAAACTGATTTTGGTTAAAGGCACATAGTATCATCACAGTGAGGTATAACATGTGACTGGGTGGTGAGCATGTGTTTGAGTGTGCACTGGGAGGATACAGTAGAACACCCTTGTGTAATCCCACTGGACAGATGTGTTCTGGTGGAGTTGTGGTCTCCTTTTTTTCTGCTTCGGTGCCACCTGCCTGATCCATGTCATTGGTGGCGGGGCTGAAACCATTCTGCAAGCCAACTGGGTCTCGCTCTCCAGCCATCAAGGTTTCCATTAAGCTGATACTCTCAGGCTCCAGGTTCACTTTCTCTGCATCACTGTCTGGCATACTGCAACATTAGGGGACAACAACAAGGTTACTTTTTGATTTGACATTACATTACACAGAGGTTGTTTACCCTAAAGAAAAACAATATAATACTTTAGTGACCTCCAGTGGTAGAATCAACAAGACCCTGTGGCAGAGACACCTATTAATGATTATATTAGAGTCCTCACTGAAGTGGTTTTGCACGTTAAAACAATCTGTTTTACCTGATAAAGGTCTTAAGGCAGGCACAGGTGACAGCTTCAGGGATGTCAGGGAAGAACTGCAAGCAGAGCTGACACAGGAAGTAGTCCTTCTTTTCCAAGGCCAGGAGCACAAGGTCAGGACACATACTGTTGAATGTCATGATGGTAAGTGTTCACATTAGACTGAATTAACACTGATTGGATTCATCTAGTTTTTATTTTCCAGTTCATTCTTCATTAACTGATTCAAATGGGAATGCTTTACTGACCTGTGGCAGAGGCAGCGAGTCTGCACGAGCTGCGCCAGGATGCTGGGGGTGTAGAAGGCTTCCTCACCCAGGCTCCGGGACACGAGGGCCGCTGCGAGCTGCCCCAGGGAGGGCTGCAGGTCCTGGACGTCTGTCCTCGAGAGGAGCCCCTCCACCTCCTTCTGGACCTCTGCCACTGATGCTGTCTGCAAGAACAATTACAAAATTTTTTTTTTTTTTTTTTATAAAATTACACTTTTTTTCCAATGCAGTTTCAGTATTATGAGAGCCATGAAAAAACAAAATTCTACCTTGATGAGCTCCATAATTTGGTCATTTGTTAAACTGGGTGCTGACTGGCTCTTACGGGTTGTTCTCTGTATGGAAAGAGAGAATAATCAAGCTGTCAGTGTGGAAAACACAGGGTGAATGCACCAGCAATTCAGGAAACAGCTGTCCAGCCTATTTCCCTTTGAAAACATTTGTCAAACATACCGTCTTTCTGGTCTCCACTGTTTTCGAGGGATTAGCTTTATCTTCATGCAAAATGTTATTCCAAGATGGTACAGAAGTGGAAGCTTTGGACTCTGTAACAGTAAGAAAAAAAAAAAATAGATTGAGTCAATTTGCAATGCTGAATCAGTGCTGCAGCATTATTAAGAACAAGCTTCTACAAGAATACATGTTATTGCAGTTTTTAAAGACAAATGTAATTTGTAATTTGTACAACGTTTTGGTTACTTCACAATCAGTACAACACATTTGTTTTATCTCACCTTCAGTCTTGGCTTGCCTTAGTTTTCCCAGGGCAGAGGCCAGGGAAGATTTGGGGCACTCATATGGAATAACCGAGAAGCTTTTCCCATGTGGAATGAATAACTTGTTCGAATAGCCCCATAACTAAATCCAAGAGAAATTGAACAAACAGGAATAAAAAGTTAATATTTTGCAATAGTGATGATACAAACTATCACAACTGATCTTTTTGTACGTAATTATGAAGATTGTGAACTGCCATACAGTTGTGAGGAGGGACAGAGAGCCCTGTCACAGTGGAGAGCAGGCACAATGCTCTACCAA